ATCACTCCTTTTACTCATGAAACATGCATTGATAAAGCTATGAAATATTTTATCGGAAAACAAACACTACTACTTAAATGGTAGTCACTATTAGAAAATTCAGATAAAATGAATATAACAACTAATGGTAAGATTTGAATAGCAAGGCAAAACTCCACCGGCCAAAAGACCGGGCCTTATGATAGTAATAATTAAATAATTGCACATGACAAGTTATTATCACTATTACCTCCCAAGCCATGACTCCGTAAGGTCGCCAACTGCCGGGTTGGAGACCATTGTTGCGTCTCCGAGCTAGTTTTAGCTCCGATTTCACCACCTTGCACCAACGTTCTCATCGCATCAACTATGGCCTCAGTTGAAGAGCTAATACTAGCTTCTTCCCTATTTCGATGGCGAAACTCGCGTGTTTAATGTGCTATGTTATCAAGGCAAACAAGAACACAAGATCAAACAAAAACCAAGACCGTCAAATATCCACCGCCTTGGGCGATGTTAATTTGATCAATCAAATAGAAACCAAGACGACCGTCGAATATCCACTGCCGAGTGTCGGGCAATGTTGATTTAATCGATACACCTTTGACTTCTAACCAAGAACAACAGTTATTCGGTTCACCACCTCTCCAAACTACATTCGAACGAGGGTGTTCGGCGAACAACGAGGAAACAAGGAGAATCTAAATTACGTTACTTCTACTCCTATGGAGGTTCCTCTGGAGAGCTCCGCAACTATGACTACGATCTACGACTACTACGACTCTGCAAAGGAGGTCTTTGACAAAGAAGTTCTAGGAAACTAGAGAGAAAAAGGTAAATCTGCGACGGTGCACTTTGAGATTTGATTTTGCCGTCTCAAGATTCTCTCTCTTCCTGATGTTTATACCCATTCTCTTTTCGTAGTCGTCGTAACCGCCTCGCTCCGTCTTTGTCTCCCACGTTCTCCATTCTTCTCAACCGCGGCGTCGTTTTCAACTAAACGACACCGTCTAAAATAATTATTAAAAAGATTAATTAATTAAACCGACTTATTATTGTCACGCTGTCACATTCTCTTCCCTCGGCTCCGTTTAATCTTTCCGCGACATCGCTTTTAACTAATCGATGCCGACCTTGTCAAATTCACAGCCACAACTCAACCCGCGGTGCCGTTCTTAGCACCACATCGTTTCCTAGTCTAATCTCTACGGCAACATTGAATCTCTCTGCGGCGTCATTTCACTCCAAACGGTGTCGTTTCTCTCCTCCTCCGACAAGGAAAAGAAACAAAAAGCATTCATTCTCCAATAAAAACACCAGATTTGCCAGGCCGAGTGGATCCGACATTGTTTTCCCCTAAACAATGTCATTTTAAGTACTGCGGTGTTGTTGGGCTTCCTCGCTGTGTTGTTTTACTCTCCGCGATGCCGCTCAACACCAAACGACTCCGTTTTTTGTCCTGCGGTATAGAATTAAATGCCGAGATTAATTAATGCGGCATTTAATTCAATCCAAAATAATTTTAGGTGTCAACAAATGCCCCCCATAATTTGGTTTATAAGAATTATGAACCAAATTATTGATGAAAACTATAATACGTAAAATATTTGGCTCAACGTATTGAAAGCAAATAAACACACAGGTACAAAGTCTGCAAATTCTTCTGCATGGCAAGTGATTTTGGCCACAAAGTTTGGCCTTTCATTCAACCCTGCGTGTAACGAAAACAAGGTGCTCGCAATGTTGTTTTGGTTCAAACTAAACCTCCAACACAACACAGTTGTTGCTTCAGCGATGCTGCCCACAATAAAAATTATAATTTAAAATATTTATTATACTATTGCGGCCCACAACGCTGTTTTCCTCCCCAAACAGTCCTGATTTTTTGTTTCCCTCGTCAATGCTGTTATGACCACAATCTCTCTCCCTTTTTTTTACTATATCATTTTTAAACAGCACCACTAAAACCACTGCACAGACAACGTGGTTTCACCCGAACGACTCCGTTCCTCACTCCTACGACCACTTTTTTTCATTCGTTTGGCGGACTTGCAAACCTGCATGGCTTTCCTTGCCATATTGCAGAGCCAAATCCTATTCCTTTTCCAACAAGGACACCTAAATTTGTTCTTTGCCCATCAATTTTGCGGCCAATTAGAAGAAAATAACATTTTTAAAATACATATTTACCTGTTGCAACGTGCTTCACAACAGCGTTGGACTCTCTTCCTTTCGCAACACTGCGGACTCGATAATGTTGTCCTGTTTTTTTTTTTCTCTTTGCTCATAAGGTTGAGCGACAAACACTCACACCACTGTTTTTCAAAACCACTAGCGTTTTGCTACAAACAGGTACGACTTTCTTGTTACAATTATTATTTCTTTTTTCCAACACCGTTACGACAAGGAAAAACAACAAAGAGGGAAAAACCAACGCACCTGTTTCTTGATTGCCAACGCACCTGTTTATCGATCCTCCTTGCATCGATACTGTTTGGGCCAAATCGACTGTGTTACCTTTTTTTTTAAGTTGACTCGCAATCTTGCCTCTCTCTCCATGGTCGCAGCATTGTTGTGCTTGGCGACCAGTGCAGATCTGACTTTCATTCCCCTGCACTCTGAAGGGTTGCTCAAAGCAGTGTTTTTATCGGCCAAGTTTCTGTAGCCTAAATCACTAATGTTGAAATTTTAAATTGACACAACGTTGTTAGTCATCGCAAAGCTGTTCTTCCAAAACCTAAAATTTTCAGCTTTGCTTCTCTGGCCTCGTATTTTATTATTTTTGGCAAAATCCCTTAGTCTTCCTAACCAACCACAACGTTGTCCCAAAAGAGAAAAATTAATCCTTGCCCTCCGCATTGTAGGCCTAGATAAAAAAATCATGTCATCACATAGTAATCTTTCTTCTCTTTGACGCACACAACAATTTTATTCCTTCCATATTACGCCTGGCCACTCCGACAAGAAAATGACAATAAAACGGTACTGTTGTGCCAGTTTTATTTTGCGACTCAGATCGCAAGTTTGGCTATATTGGCCAACCAACGCTCACCATTTTAGCCAAGAAAAGAAAATTAATTTGGTATTATACCACATCGGCTGGGATTAAGTTGACCCTACCGCTGGCCTTCAGGCATTAAAATTTTCCTTTTATATTAGTAAAGGAGTTGGCAAATTGGTATACTTGTTGCATACTTTGCCAATCTCATACTACTCAACCACGTTGTGCAGGCTTGGTAGCCGATGAAGCAACATCCTCTTTGCACCTGGTTGATCGTCATTATTAGACTACTGACCAGCTGCGTCCCATAGGGACGACACGTATGGCTTTAGATATTTGTCATTTATCAAACGCTCATGCATCACTCCATCCAAATCTTTCAGCAAGTATGCTCCATTAGGGCGCACAGAGTGCACCACAAATGGTCCACGCCAATTCCATGATCATTTTCCAAACTTGGCATCTTTTTCCCCAATCGGCAAGTGAGCTTTCCAAACCAGCTCGCCCTCCTCGAATGATTTGTGTCGAACCTTCTTGTTCTAAGCTCTCGCCACTCTTGTTTTCTGTACTTGAACATTATCGAGGGCGCATAGTTGAAGTTCATCAAGATCGCAGAGCTCAAGCATCATTGATTCATGATACTCCTGAGGTGTTAACTCGTGCTGCTTCATATACCGGAGTGAGGTGAAGGTCACCTCCACGGGAAGGAATGCTTCATGACCGTAAGTTAACGAGAAGGGACTCACTCTCGTACTGCTTCGTGGTGACATCCTATATGCCCATAACGCTTCTGATAAAATTTATGCCACTGTCGCGGATTATCCTCAATCATTTTTGTCAAAATATTTTTCATGACCTTGTTGGATGCTTCCGCTTGCCTGTTAGCTTGTGCATAATACAGCGTGGAATGGATAATCTTTAACCCCCGTTCTGCCGCGAACTCCATAACTTGCCCCCCGGTGAACAGAGTTCTTTGGTCTGCCATTATCGTTGCCGGCAAACCAAATCGGTGAATGATGTGTTCTTGTATGAAAGAAATCACTTCATCTTGGTTAGTCACCTTCAATGGCTTGGCTTCCACCCACTTGGTGAAGTAGTAAGTAGCCAAAATTATAAAAATGTGTTTCTTTGACGATGGAGGGTAAATCATACCAATCAAATCCATGCCCATCCTTAAAACGGTCTTGGTTTGATTATGGATTTTAGATCAACCGTCGGCGCTCTTTGAACAGGGCAGTGGTATTGACAAGCTTCGCAGCCCTTGGCATACGCAGCACAATTTGGTCCAATGGTGGGCCAGTAGAATCCGTAGCGATGTAGAATCCATCGGATATTTTTGCCACCCTATTGGGGCTTAGGGTTTTTTATTTTTATTTTATTTTAGACTTAATTATATATATTTATATTATTAGATAAATAAAATATAAAATTAATTTAAATTAATTTTTTTTTATCCATTTGGAGCTCAGCGTTAGTCAAAGATGTCGACCGTCCAAATTGACAATCTAACAACGCAACCGGCCAATTGAATCTATATAGTGTATAATTGAGATTAGGATAACGATTTCTAAAACCACCATCTAAAATTAATTATTTAAATATATAATTCAAGTCAGTATAAAGTATTAACCCAAAAATATTACTCTATAACATCTCGGGCAGAGCAACGGAAAGTAGGAACCATACCCACGTTTGCGCCACTACGGTCTCAAAACTGGCCCCCAAATGTCCACCTCTCAGTTACAAGTACAACCATATCCTCATTAATTGTGCAGATGTCACCTTAACACTGACCCACGTCCCCAATCACGACTCTTTGTCCATGCAACTCTACCTCCACGCGTCACCAACCCACTGACCACATCCCACGGCCACCGCAAGCCCTCTAGCCAGCGCCTACCTAGGGTTCCTGAAACAAATCAACAAAGAGTGAAGTCTGATAAATTATTAAAGCAAGAAGAGAGGAGCAATTAACTTTGGTGGTTTTTAGGCTAGCTCCTGAAGCGAAGCAGGCAGCCACATGCAGAAGCAAGAGGAGAGAAGTAGCAGCAATTGGCGCGGCGGCGGCGAACATGACCAAGAGATACAAGTGCAGAAGGCATCAGATGAGGAAACGCGATCTCATCCTCCTCTGATGGCGCTGAACCATGTATCCCGACTGTGCAGGGATGTTCAGAAATCGCTCGATTTCTACACCAAAGTCCTTGGGATGGTGTTGATTGAGAGGCCGGAGGCTTTTAAGTTCGATGGAGCGTGGCTCTACAATTACGGCGTTGGGATTCACTTGGTACAGGCTACAGACGAAGATAGGTTGCCTGACAAAGACCGCGGCCTCGATCCCATGGATAACCACATCTCTTTCCAGGTATGTAGCTACGTCCGTTTGGACCTCTTGGAACCATTCTAGTAGCTAGCTAGCTAGCTAAAATGAGTATTACAAATTGTGAACAGTGTGAAGACATGGAAGCTATGGAAAGGAGACTGAAGGAGTTCAATGTGGAGTACCTGAAGAGGACGATAGAGGAAGAGAATGGGACCAAGATAGACCAAATGTTCTTTGACGATCCCGATGGGTTCATGATCGAGATATGCAACTGCGAGAACCTGAAGCTTGTCCCTGCTGGCTCCTTGGCCAAAATTAGGATCCCCTTCGACCGACACACCCCTCCTCTTGACCTCAACGGCGGCCGTGGTCATCGCCAACACGAGCACGCGGATTAACTAACTCTCTGCTTAATGCTTAATGCTTATGCTTCGTGGGGTTGCCTATAATCGAGTTGGCTCTTTTTTTCCCCGCAAAATCTAGCTTTTAGTCGTTGCTTATTCCAATTGATACAGCTATATATAGACCACTAGGACAAGGAGTCATCAGCTACCTCTTGCATGCTGTGAGCCATATATAGTACTTTGCTTTTTTCCAAATATCAATGAGAGACAGATTCGTCACCAAATGGACTGGCCTGTTAAACTAACGAGGAGTAAAAGAGCAATTAAAATGACCCAAAGACAATGAAAGCTTAAGAACTTCCTCCAAGAGATCACCTCCCAAAGCATGCTTCGTGTCCCTTGTCACAACCATTCTTTCTCATAAAAATTAACCACATGAAAAGGTGAGTTAAACACCATCGAATATCATCACGAAGAGCTAAAAGTTCACTTTGTCATTCCTGGATAGTATTTGCGAATAGGGGTGGCTATACGGTCCGGTTAAATTGGCCCAAATTGATCCGGTCCAGTCCGGGTTTTTTGAAAATATAAGGACCGAAGATTGGATTGGATACAGTCCGGTCTTGATCCGGTCCGGTCTTGACCCGGTCCGGTCTCAATTCGGTCTTGATTTTATATTGAGATTGTGGGAATTTGAGTGGCCTAAGGCCTAAAAGGGTGAGGAGTTGGTTAAGTTTTGTACTAAGTGCAAAGGTTTGTGACCGTTTATGCAAATTACCCTTAAGTTTTGGGTGTTGAGCTCTCTTATCCGGTCTTTATCCGGTTTTTTACCTCAAATCTAAGCCCAAAGATTGGATTGGATTGTTTACTATCCGGTCCCGGTCCGGTCTCGGTCCGGGTTATACGGTCCGGTTTCCGGTTTTTCATCCGGTCCCGGTCCAAATAGCCAGCCCTATTTGCGAATAGCAAACAGAATAGAGCTCAGAAGAAGAGAAGCATACAAAATCAATTCCTTCTCCTAGAGTATCCTCCATAGCTCAATTAAAGCATATAAGAATTCTCTCAGGGGCACAACAATCATCTTGAAGATCCGGCCAAAAACCCGAATGAGGTGGTCCTCGCGATAACTCAAGTGGTGAAGAGGCAGTTCACCACGCATCAACTTGACCTTCGAATTGTTGACGTAAACCGAAGCTAAATAAAGAATTTGCTCGACATTAGTTAATCACAACCAAAGGGGACCCCACCCTAATATAGACCATAGTTCCCTAACTACCCAACAACAGAACTGACAATGCACTACGTATCATTTCGAAACCATCAAAGCAGACTGGGCAAGTACTATCCGCCACCAATTTCTTATCCTGCAAAATAGAATAAACAGACAAGAAAACTCCGAACCAGACGCCAGAATAACTTTATTTTTTGGGGTAAAGGTAAATACCATAAGAATTTATAACACGTGGAATCAAACGACTTATGAATAGATGGAAGGGTGAGGGTAATAAGAGCATTCTGATGCACTCTCAACCCATCGAAAGAGGAATTCATTTAGGCCACAACTAATTTGTCCAAAAAGGCTTATGAATAGATGGAAAATAGTAATGGCGAGAGTGGATCGTTTAGATGGATACCACGTTGATGTGAGAAATAATCATAAGGACTTCTATTGAGTAGGATCAAAAAACTTATTGTTGTCATGCAAGTCCTGACCCGCCGAATTCAGGTGTCACAGAATCCCAAAGTCTGCATAAAAGCAAAGAGAAACTTCCATTTTAGCTACCCGATCATAGGCTTTCTCCATATCCAATTTTAGCGCCGTCCACTTATCTCTGCCCTGTACTTTAGTTTTTAGATACCACATGACCTCTTGCCCAATGAGAATATTATTAGTGATGGACCGCCTTTGACAAAACTATTTTGATTACCACCAACAACAGAGGGAATGGTGGACCCCAACCTAGATGCCATGAGTTTTGCATATTTTATAGAAAGCCTAGTAGAGCTCATGACAACTCCCCATCAATTTATAAATCCTCGCATATCAAAGTTTACGGTAATTGTGTTATCTACCGGAGGGGAAGTTCCAACTACTTTGAAGAGTAATGGAGGCCTCCTTAATTGTGTGGAACGTCAGAGTTCTCGGCGAGGCCAGCAAGCGGGGTAGAATTAAGCACATCATCAACAGGCGTAAACCTAAAATAGTTGGTTTGATCGAAACAAAGTGGGACAATTGGGATATCGCTACCATTGGAAGCGTCAGTGGATCCAGAAATGTTGGGTGGCTGCCAAGAATGCAAACAACAGTGCGGGGGGAATCGCCATTTATTGGGATCAGAACCACTTCAGGGTCAATAACATCATGACGGGCACGTACTTCCTCGCGGTGGAGGTAGTCGATACTAAGTCCAACAAGGATTGGACTCTGGTGGTGGTTTATGGTCCTCAGAACAGAACTAACAAGCTTGCCTTCCTTGACGATTTGAACAATCTTTGCTAGCAGATCACCTCCCCATCTTGCATTATTGGGGACTTCAATATGGTTCGTTCCCATGATGACTACAAGGGTGCTCGGCGAGACGTGTGCATCATGGCGGCTTTCAATGATTTCGTGGATAGTAACGGCCTTTTGGAGATGCCTTTGGGTGGCAGCCATTATACGTGGAGTAGGGGAGGATCCGGCGAGTGTTTTTCGCGTATAGATCGCGCCTTCATATCTGCTGATTTCGACGCCATCTACCCAGATTGCTATCTTATTGCTCTCGAGAGAATTAAATCCGATCACAACCCTCTCATGCTCAACTGGGGGGGGCCACTCCCATTTCAAACGACCTTGGAGGTTCGAGAACATGTGGCTCAAAGATGACAGATTCTTCGAGGGGATGAACCAGTTGTTCTAGGATCCGATTCAAGGTCAGGGGATGATTTTCATCTGGGCGCGGCGCCTTCACCACCTCAAGAGCATAATCAAACTATGAAATAAGGAAGTATTTGGAGATGTCAACGTCAAGATCAACGAGCTATTTGCTAAGATTTTGGATATCGACAAACTCGAAGAGTCTCACCCCCTCGATGATTCCACGAGAGCAACCAGAGACCTGTCCAAGATCGAGTTGGGAAGGCTCCTTAACCTACTCGAGATATCCTGGAGACAGAAATCCCGCGAGTGCTGGCTCAAACTTGGCGACAAGAACAACAACTTTTTCCACAGAGTGGCCAACTTCAGGAGGAAGATCAACAGGATTGATTGCATCAGAATCAATGGAGTGTTGGTCGAAGGAAAACAGGATATTGCGGTGGGTATGGTTAACCATTATAGGAATCTTTTCCTCGAAGAATCTCCAAATCGGCCTTTCCCCTGCCGTTATGTTGAGCGCTGCCTATCGAACAGCGAGTGTCAGCTCCTCATCTGTCAGTTCAGCGAACATGAAATCTGGGTTTGTCTTTGGGAGAGTGACGGCAGTAAGGCACCAGGGCCCGATGGGTTCACCTGGGAGTTTCTCAAACGATGCTGGACTTGGGTCAGGAGCGACATCATAAACGCTTTCAACGAATTTCACATCACAGGCGTCCTCCCCCAGAGCGCCACCTATTCTTTCCTCTGCCTGTTGCCCAAAAAAGATGTTGTCGAAGATACAAAAGATTTGCGCCCGATCAGCTTGATGGGATGCATAAACAAGCTTTTCAGCAAGGTCCTCGCCAGCAGAATGAGAGATGTTCTACCCAAATTATTTTTAAATAATTAATATATTATATCTTATTATATTCCATAAGAATATGATTATTATTGTTTATCTTATTTTCCTTCACTTTCCTTCACATTCCTACACTTTCTAACACTTTCATACACATTCCTACACTTTCCTACACTTTCATACACTTTCCTACACTTTCTCCTTCATTCCTCCTCTTTCTTTCATTTTCTTACATATTCATGCATATACGTAAATGTTTCTCGTTTACATTACCCATACTCCTTTATATACTTACACTTTCTCCTACTCACAGATACACACTTGGACTTTCCCATATACAATAATTGGTGAGGAATATTGGTGTATGAAGGAGAATATTAACAAGTATAGGGGAATAATGGAGAATGTTGGTGAATGTTAACGTAAGTCGAGGAATTCAACTACAAGTCACACACAACAAAAGTCCCTCAACACACCACAACTCACACACAATACCCTCTCTCTACTTTCTCCCTCTAAAAACGTTTTATCTCTCCTCCCGATATCCTAAAACGTATTACCTCTAAACACTCAACACACCCTCAATTTGGTGGACTAAGCCATGGAATCGTGGATAGTCTCCACCGGGCGGCATTAAATAGCCGACGACGCTCAATTACGACCGTGGGACCGAACCAGGTCTAACGTCATCGTATTTATTTTATTCCCTTCAGGTTACTAATTTGAGCGTCGGAGGAGGCTCCAACAAGGACTCCCCCGGTGGGACCTTTTTTCCAGGTATTCGCACGGAGCTGGAGGTGGTTAAAGGCTTTGGGAAATCAGCGCTCTCCGGACCTTAAACATATTGAAGCAGGCTGCTCTAAGCTTGGCATCAACAGGGGGTTTGTAGATGGGTTTGGGTTAGGTATGGATATTGCTTTCATAATGTAAATGGGTATGGGTTGGATATGGATATCCATTTACTTGAGGGTGTTTTAACTACACAAACAAAAATTGGACCTATTTGTAAAACATGAAAAGTTTAGGTACCAAAACGTAAGACCAAAAAATTTTAGGTACCAAAACGTAATTTTCCATCGATATTTTGAGGACTTATATGCAAAAAAAAATTAAATTTAGGTACTAAATCTGCATATCTATTAAGTTTAGGTACCAAACTGTAATTTGCCTTTGGGCATGGGTACAAACCCAAATCCATGTGTTAAAAACCCAACCCAAGTAAATGGGTATGGGTACAAATCCATCAAACTCTACTCATCTACCATTTATTTGAAATCCATACCCAACCCAATTAGGTTGGATAGTAAAATACCCATGGGTATGGGCAAAATTGTCATCCCTACCTCTATCTTTTCAGTGGGTCTCTCTTTCTCTTATGAGTTTTTATCTCTCCTCTGTGGTACTCTTCTCTCTTCTCTCTTTTTTGTCATCCATCCTCTTTCATTCATTCTTTTCTCAAGAGAAAATAATAATCATCACTCATGAGAAGTGGATTACTTAGGCTAGCTTAATTGTCAATCCTTGATGATAATTAATTACATAAATTAATTTTAAACATAATGATGGCTAGAGATATGATTGATCTGGAAAGGTTTGAGACCAAAGTCATAAACCTCCATTTTCAAGTTAGATTATACATATATGGTGGCGTATTCTGCGCACCCACTTTTTTGGGTACACTCAGCGCACCCGCCTCATAATCATCATTCTGAACATGCGATTCATGTCAAAATGGTATCAATTGTTGCTTATGATATTATGAACAATAAGCCCATGAATTTGAAAAAAAATTATTTAAGATTTACTTTAATTTGAAGGATTTAGGGGTTTAAGGTTTAGGTCTACAGTTTGAGATTTTGCATTGGGGTTCAAAATTGAAGGTTAAGGGGTTAGGGTAATAGATTGATTTGTTATGATTCTATGTCATATCATCATGTTAGATTGAGAGTACTAATTAAAGTTCAAAATTTCATGTATTATGGACACTTTTAGAAATGGGTGCACTGAGTGCACCCAAAAAAGTGAGTGCACCGAAATAGCCAATATATATATATATATATATATCAAGTAACTTTTCAATACCTAGTTCCTACAAGTTTGGATATAGTGGATTTCATCAATTTGCATTATATTGATTTTAAGTGACGTAAATGTATAGGCCATTGTACTAAAACTCACTTGTTGTTATTGGATTGTCATAATTTAATTTATGATATCATGAGTGAAATCCCAAATTGAAATAATTTATATTATGAAAAAAGACACATCTAAATTCTACTTCTGGCTCTGGCACTGGTACACCGTTAGTTATTTCTAATGTACCAATCAAACAAACGAGTTATTTAAGACTTGCGTAATAATTAAGACTCTACAAAAAAACTTATAAAAGTGTTTGACTCGGGCCATTTCAATGTTTTTTTTTTCAACTAAATCATTATAAGAGTAGATGAAATTTTATTACAAAATAAATAAATAAATATTACCGTCGCGAAGCACGGGTCAAAAAACTAGTTGAGATGAAAGAGATAAACTATAAACTACTAATGAATTTCAATTTTCAACGTAACATTAAACGAATGGACAATAACATATTTATAGGTATTAAACATCTTCTTTCTCTTACCTAAAACATGACTACTTCTCCCAGAAGAAAACAATAATCAAATGCTAAACAATTACAACAAAACAATCGCAATTTGTTTTCTGGTAAGAAAACTACTAAGACAATTAAATAATAATAATATCTCAAATAATACGAAATACAAACTAATTGACAAAACACTTAAAAACAGTTGACCTCAAAAATTTATAAATTATTACAAATGGCTGATAACTAACTTAACAAAGATGTGCATCCATTCTATAAACCCTGCGAAAGTTTCCACCGCCGTGAAACACCCATCAAAGGAGTCAGACGACAAGTTAGCATTCATGCAAACTAATAAGCCAATTTATAAGCAGCATAGTACTGGCTATTGACCGAAACTGGGATCCCTTTGCTCCAAGCTAGGTCCCACACGTCGGCCAAATCAAGGGAATAACCTCCTCTCTCTCTCTCTCTCTCTCTCTCTCTCTCTCTCTCTCTCTCTCTCTCTCTCTCTCTCTCTCTCTCTCTCTCTCTCTCTCTCTCTCTCTCTCTCTCTCTCTCTCTTCCTCGTCACAATTGAATGCACTCCAAAAACCCAGCTTCCAGAGGCAGTCAAAGTGAATCCTAAACTAGCTGGCGAATGAATAACAGGACATTTCAGCCATCAAATGGGAAAGAGAGAAAGAAGAGCAAAAAAAAGCAGATGATGGACAAAACAAAGACCAAATTTTCCACGTCAAGAAACATAAAAATTGAGGTTGTCACGTATCGTAACTGAAGTGGGTGTCCTGTTTTCTTTATCGAATATCATGGGTCGGCAAAATGTGCCTTCTTCGTCTTCCCCCCACGGCCCCATCCATAAATATGCCCCATCGAATTCCCCCCACCTCATAATTCCATTGCGATCGAGCGAACTACATGTTATAGCCCAGCCCACACACACACATATATTTTGCAAAACGCTAACTAGCTGGAACACATACAGAATTTAGTTTGGTTCTTTCTTGCGATGGAGTGGCTACCATTCTCCTCCTGCCAGTGCCTGGCGATCTTCCTCCTCTTCATCGTAGCCGTCCCTTGTTCCTCCGCGTATTCCTTGCATCCCACGGTGGCCTACTCGATGATGGAGCACCGCGACCACACCGGAATCTCACCCTTTCGCGTACTGAACAGGAGAGCGCTCGGGCAGTGCCCCGACCTAAACCCCTACCTTGGCATCCAAGTCAGCAGCGGCAGCTCCGCCCTAGCTGACGAAGAGTACGTCACGGTCACCGTCAGCGGGGTTCTGCTGCCGTCGGAGCTGGATTGGGTGGCCATCATATCTCCCTCCGACTCCGAGTAAGAAGCTAGCTGTATATATTAATTAATTAATTAGTTAGTTAGATAGATAGATATATGTTCACGTAGCTAGCTTGCTTTCTCCGTGAGCGTGGAACTAACTAGGTAAAGGGTGGTGGTTGAAGTGTGTCCGCCTGTCCATTGAAGAAAGCCGAGTACGTTCAGACGGGAGACCTTGCTGATCTTCCTCTTCTCTGCCACTATCCTGTTAAGGTAAACCAAACACGTATACTTCTTTTTGTTTTTACCATGCCTGATTGCTTTCAAATCTATACTATATATAATATATTTCTAAAAAAAATAAATTGTCTTTGGTGGAAAAAATTATAAATTATTGATACACATAACTCGAACGAAACAAAAAAGAGGATAGATAACATGAAGCATATATAACTCATACTTAATTAATTAGTTGTTGCATAGATACAACTCCCGCCAGCCCCATATTTCTTTTGTATAATAACTAAGAATTTACAAATCATTGCCTACCCTCGGTAAAACGAAAAGGAATAATTTTGCAGAACATCAACCCTTTTCAAACAAGAGACAAAAGCATATTCAGTAGTTTCTACCTACACAGTTGGAGTCGGCTGGAATCATATATATAATATATATATTTGCACGCAGAAATTATCGGAGGTTGAGATGAACAATATCCAGAAAATGACGATAACTAAGCGAATTAATTAATGTTGCCTTTTCATTTTCGGTTTCTCAACCTTTCATTCTCCCTTCCGTTACCGTATGGGCATCTCGTAAAATTCCAAATTAAACCCATTTTATGCTTGGACTTGGAGGAGAGTATTAAATAATAAAGTGCAAAACAGGATCATGGACTAAAAGTCGAGAACCCACACCTCACTTGCTTTGCTACGTACCCAATTTCTACTATACTACCTAATATATACATATCAATTCAACGCGTTAGGTCTCATTAGTATCTTCCTTTATATGAATATATAGGTCACATTGTATCATCGAAAACTAATTTTTATCTGTCTTTTCAGTTTATTAGGGCATAAAAATTACACAAATTCTTGCATATATGTGTCAGTGCTGCACCAGTACTCTTCATTGTAAAAAATGAACAAATTGTGCGAACAAAAATTTGGTCTAGTTGTACTACCATTGCTCTTAAACCTCGAGATCTCATGTCATATAACTTTGTGATGACCCATTTTTCATTCCAACAATTAGACAAATTCTGAAAAGAAGTTTTAGATTTAATATAGTATACTATCATTTCATTTTTTATTTTCTATATGGAGATTATAAATTCGAATTTCTTAAATAACACCTGAAAATAAAACTAAGTCACTCTTATTACAAAATATATACAAATTGTCCACGCTGCGCTTGGTGAATAATTTATCAGTTATATCAATGGCCCTACTGATCAACGAGTACAGCTAGTGCGTGGCCAATTAATTTTCTAACGTCAACCCTCACCTATAACATAGCTTTTCCGTGTAAAATATTTATGGAACATGCAGCATGTGTGAGTGTGAGTGTGACTATTTGAAAACGGATCCTCCTAACACCTAATTAATTCATAAACTATAATTTGTGTTAAGTACTGATGTTTGAACTCAATCATGATCTCGATTGCCTACTTTAAAGTTTAAATCATCACTTCTTTAATTTCTTATTCTTTCCTTCATAAACTATAAATGGTTTAACTAATACACGCTATCCAGTGGCCTCGACCCTTCTTTCGTTAACCTGATTTCTTCACATTGTGATTGACTTGATATTAAAATAAAAGAAAGAAAAACTTATAAATAATGTCAATTTCGCTCTATCGCTGCAAAATAATTTTTCGCCAAGTTTTCATTCTGCTTAATTACTCTTATTAAACACTCCCAAATAGATTATGTTAAAATCGAATAAAGTTAATGATTAGTAAATAATAATAATTATTTTTTGGGAGAGATAAAAATAGTGGAAATTAAGTAGTATGTATCATATGCATGGATCCTATATTCATATTTGTCATCATTAAAACTTAAAGAAATAAATAGAAAAAATTTAAATACCATTATTTATCATGACTGCTTCGAATAAAAATCTGGGGATGAATTAACTAAGATATGATCAAGCGTGTTCAGCAATAAGATATATATATATATATATATATATAACAGTACGCTTGTGTATATATATGGATGATTAAAAGTTGGAATATGATAAATACTAAATAGACTACAGCATTCTTTTATTTACAATTTATCCAGAAGAGTGTAGACTTTTTTGGACATATGTAATCAACTAGCTAGTTGCGATGATGTCAAGAAACCAAATGTTCAAAACTCTTCGTGACCAAAAGGGCTAATATGATATGTATTTAATTGGGCATATGGACCCATAATATATATTTGACTGGTATGATATGAATACAAGGATATGCGGTTTATGTCTCTTTGAAAATGACATTCAAGGTATGTGGCTTAGGTTGATTGTTTTTTTTTTTTTTAATAGGAGAAGATGAGTTTTTAATATACATAATATAAAATAAAATTCATTTTAGTTATTAAATTTTTAATTCATTAATTTGTTTATATATGTATTTAAAAATTATATTAGAAGGCTCAAATAAGTCGGATCACGATCTAATCACTACAACTTAAACCACTTGCTTGAATTGACAACTTATATAATTTGAAACTTTCATTTTCTCGCGTGAGATAATAAATTGTATTTTTCACTTAGATTAGTTAAGAATTCTGTGTTGAACTTGATATTAGTGTAGCAAATTATTTTGGCATGCGACTGAAGCGGATTGTAGGGCAGGGGACAAGAAAGGTTGATTCTGTGTGTGATTGGGGTCGGGGAGGAAATTTAATGTAATTTAATTTTGGATATTCAACAAACAAAAAAATGTGCAGGGACAGTGGGTGAGCCATGATCCGGATTACCTAGGATGCAAGAAAGAGCAGTGCCAAAAATGGAACGGCCCCGTGTGCGACGTGTCCACCTGTAACGGCACCATAACCTTCCACGTGGTCAACTTCAGAACCGACGTTGAGTTTGTCTTCTTCACCGGCGGGTTCGATGCGCCCTGTATACTGGCCAGGTCCGGCCCCTTGAAATTCGCCAACCCAAACCAGCCTCTCTACGCCCACATTTCCAGCATTGATTCTTCAGGAACCTCGGTAAGTCTTTATGGCTTTCCTGTTACAAATGGTGGCACTCAATTAATTAATTAATTAATTGGGTTCCCTTCCATTCCAACGAGCAGATGAAGGTAACGTGGGTGAGTGGAAGTGAAGAGTCACAAGTAGTGCAATATGGGGACGGGCAAGCAACAGAATCAGAGGCCACAATTTTTACTAGGGACGATATGTGCAGTAAGCAGTTTTGATGCTTATTAATTCATTTCCACTACCGCTTTCCCCTATTAATAGGATCATAATTGGTGTACGTGGTTTTGAATATGATGGTGCAGCCTCTGTTCTGCCAAGTCCAGCCAAGGACTTCGGGTGGCACGACCCTGGCTACATCCACTCCGCAATCATGACTGGTCTGAAGCCCTCCAGCTCCTACTCCTTCAAATACGGCAGTGCGTCGGCAGGGTGGAGCGACGAAATCAAGTTCAAGACTCCACCTGCTGGTGGGTCAGAGGAGGTCAGGTTCCTCGCCTACGGTGATATGGGGAAAGCCCCACGCGACCCTTGTGCAGAGCACTACATCCAGCCTGGGTCCCTGGCGGTGGTGGAGGCTTTGATGAAGGAGGTGGATTCAGGGGACATAGATTCCATCTTCCACATCGGAGACATCAGCTACGCGACAGGGTTCCTGGTTGAATGGGACTACTTCCTTCAGCTTATCAGCCCCATCGCCTCCAAGGTCCCCTACATGACCGCCATAGGAAACCACGAGAGGTGCTCCATCCACGCGAGCGACCTTAATTGCTCACTCTGCGCATACTTGCTATACTAATCAATTTCTCGGCTTCAGGGATTACACCAACACTGGATCGGTTTATGGCACACCTGACTCTGGTGGGGAATGTGGGGTTCCTTACGAGACATACTTCCCAATGCCAACCTCCGCCAAGGACAAACCATGGTACTCCATTGAACAAGGAACCGTTCACTTCACCCTCATCTCCACTGAGCATCCCTGGTCGGATGGTTCCCAACAGGTACATACCAATAATGACGTGTGCTGTACTAATTACCATTTCTTAACTGCCCCCCAACAAAAAATTGTTGCTGCAGCTTGAATGGATCAAGACTGACTTGGCTTCAGTAGATCGATCCAAAACGCCTTGGCTGGTTTTTGCAGGGTGAGTCAAATCCAAACCAACATATGGTTTTAATATATTATCATCAATGAACCGTTCCACTTGATTATTTGGAAAAAAAAAATTCGACAGGCACCGACCCATGTACTCCTCTTCCAACCCAACCAACGCAGACTCCAAATTCGTGGCTGCCCTAGAGCCATGGCTGCAGCAATACAAGGTTGACCTGGCGCTGTTTGGACATGTTCACAACTACGAAAGGATGTGCTCTGTTTTCCAAGGCGCTTGCCTGGCCATGCCTACAAAAGACGATGATGGTGTGGACACTTACGATCACGACAATTACACTGCACCAGTTCATGCTGTCATTGGGATGGCCGGCTTCTCTTTGGACAAGTTCTCAGACACTGTAAGTTCCATTCCATCTACTCGCTTCATTAATGGTGTTTTGCACCAAAACCCGTGATTTGAAGTTTCCCATTTGAGCTATAATCAGTTGCCGCCTCCAAGTTGGAGCTTGAGAAGGATCGCAGAGTATGGCTACTTCAGAGCTCATGCCACAACAAGTGAGATCAATTTAGAGGTTAGTATGCAATGCCAGCTACTACAACATTTTGCCACACAATTCACCAGCATTCCTTTTCCACCTGATCCAACCAAAAAATGATTCATTATTGCTATTTTATTGAACAAATTAACTATGCCATTTCATGGAAGAAGTTAACTAATTTTCATCACTTTTAACACCCTTTTTTTTCTTCTTCTCTTTTTCTGCAGTTTGTGGACGCAAATACACTGCATATTCATGACAGCTTCCGTATTATTAAATCAACAAACTAAAAGAGACATGTTATTTACGCATTGGGAGTTCATGGAACTCTCTGTTTTTCGCTTCCGACATATATAAGATTAATGGTACAAATGATGTAAATGAATTTTAATTGTATAAGGCATGGCAAGCTCAGTGTATGGGTGTTTAGTAACAACAAAAGGTGTTGGTTTTACCAAACTTAACAAATTGGAAATATGGAAGACTCATGATTTACGTGGTTTCTTTGAGTTCGGGACTAGTTTTTAGTCACCCCTTTCTATAGTATCTTGTTTCAAACTCTTGGTATCCCTCTATAGGGATTTGGATAAACATGTGGCCAGATTTTGGTGGGACGGTTAGTCTCATATCTGTCGGATATCCTAGAAAAACTTGTGCTGCAATAACCATGATGGATAGGGGTGGCTATACGGTCCGGTCCGGTTAAATTGGTCCAAATTGATCCGGTCCAGTCCAGTTTTTTTGAGAATATAAGGACCGAAGATTGGATTGGATACAGTCCGGTCTTGATCCGGTCCGGTCTTGATCCGGTCCGGTCCAATTCGGTCTTGATTTTATATCGAGATTGTGGGAATTTGAGTGGCCTAAGGCCTAAAAGGGTGAGGAGTTGGTTAAGTTTTGTACTAAGTGTAAAGGTTTGTGACCGTTTATGCAAATTACCCTTAAGTTTTGGGTGTTGAGCTCTCTTATCCGGTCTTTATCCGGTTTTTTACCTCAAATCTAAGCCAAAAGATTGGATTGGATTGTTTACTGTCCGGTCCCGGTCCGGTCTCGGTCCGGGTTATACGGTCCGATTTCCGGTTTTTCATCCGGTCCCGGTCCAAATAGCCAGCCCTAATGATGGAGGATAGGGTTTCGTCAATTCGAGCACCTTAATGAGGCCCTCTTTGCCAAAATTTGGTCGCAAATTCTTAACGAACCCCAATCCCTCCTGGCTCACGTGTACAAAGGAAGGTACTTTCCTACAGGGTCCTTCCTTACTACTTATGCGCATTCACGACCCTCTTGAAGCTGGCAGAGTATCCTGTATGGTCGCTAGTTACTTTCTCAAGGATTGCATTGGCAGGTTGGGAATGGCCATAGTGCCTCTATTTGGAATTCTAGATGGATTCCTAGTTTACAACCGAATGCCCCCCCCCCCTTTGTCACCATCATGTGATAACGTAGGGGTATCACCTGAAGGTGGGAGAGCTAATGGAGCAAGGTGGAGGCGATTGGAGTGACAAACGACTCACACAGATGTTGTCCAGGCCATTAAAGTGATCCGACTGCCTCGTATGGTTATAAATGACTCCCTAATTTCGCATAATACCAGGATGGGGTGTTTACCATGAAGTCTGCATACCACCTAGAGATTTTGATTGATAGGCAGCGAGATGTTTGGTGTCAAAGGGTTAGTTTTATGGATAGAGCCAGTTGGATTCAGATGTGAGAGCTACCAATTCCGCGCAAGCTGAAAATTTTTCTCTGGCCGATTTTTCCTCACATAATCCAGACTACAGAGGCACTTATTGAGAAGAAGGTCGAAGTAGTGCCCCGTTGCCCGGCCTGCTGGGCATAGTCGGAGTCAATAGAGCATATGTTTCTGGATTGCCCAGTGGCGAAAGCATTATGGGATCACTCTAGTTTAGAGTATCCAGACCATTGGCTCCGGCGCCATACTTTTTCAATGTTTCTAAAAAAGTTGTTGGTACGGGTAAGATTTGTTGATCCAGGAATTAGGTTTCCTTTTAGGGTAAGCAATTTTGAATATCTACCTTGATACGCGTATCATCAACAAGTCCATGATTGGATTAGCTTGCCAGCAGATAGAATGATCCCACATAGACCGAGCCCGGCTCGTCCGGCACATTCACTTGCATGTGGGAAGGGGCGATATGGAGTGGGTTCCATGCCGCTAGAGGAATCATCCTAAGGGACCCCAAAGGATCTTTTGGATTAGCTGAAGGGGTTTACGTTGAGAATATTGATGATCCAACCTTAGTAGAGCTTTTGGTTCTTCGGGAGGCTGTCAAGTTGTGTCTGGATCTTGGTCTCTCAGAGGTTCATTTTGAAGGAGATGTGAAGGTTGTCATTGATAAGATAACCCTAGCAGACAAGCGATATTGTTACTATGGGGTCATTCTTGAGGAAGTCATTCGTCTATTTGCGTTTCGTAATGGTTATGTTGTACGATTTATAGGTCAAAAGCGATAAGGTAGGTCATTCAGTAGCTAGAAAAGCCATTTCTTTGTACCGGCCCCCATATCGTTTCTTTTGATTTTTTGTTCTGGATATATACCAGCGTGTTCTATCTCTATTTCAATCAATATATGATTACATTTTGTAAAAAAAAAAACAAATATAGAAACTAATAATATGTTCAGTTATATTTTCATTTGTTGTTGTGACCAAAAAGATTGACAACACAACATAAATTAACTGAAATCAATGTAAAGAGCTTCCTTATTGTTTACAAAAATTATGACTGGTAAGCGGTTATTCCATTAATGGTGTAACCAATAACCGAACCAGAACTGGTGATTAATGGTTAAACCGAGAACCAATTAAATAAAAAACGGTCGGTTCCCTATAACCAAATTTAGCTAATAACTAATCAATGGTTAAACGGTTAATAATCGATGGTTAATCGACTAACTGATTATGACCATCCTCATAGTTAGAGCCAAAAATAATAAACCTCCATGAGCTGCAAACATAGGCCAAAAATAATGGGGTGTTTGAAGGATTACAAGACCCCTTGCCTATCCTAGTTGTAAATGTGACTTAGACTCAAATGAGAATAATTTAAAAGAAGAGTTTTAGAAGAAACACAGTAGAAAGTCATACTTGAGCATAGTTGCTCGACAACAATTAGTAACATTAAGATTCCATGTAATTTGATGGGGTTTGCAAGTTGAGTAATTGTTGTTGGGTATCATTGTATGCTTCTTTAATAAAGTTTGATGGTAGAATGGTATTATTGTGTACATGTTTTGGATTGAGTTGATTATGTATTGATATATATCTATGTTAAATTATCAATTATTCAATGATAACAACTTAAGAAAAGAACACATGCATATTTATGAAAAAAATTCACAATTGAATGAAGTAGTTCTTGTGTTGGTTAGGTTATCGATTGTTATTTTGGTATGACATTACCGAATCACTTGGTTAACGATTATTCGGTTAACTGACAAAATAACCGAGAATAGACTATACGGTTACGGTTAACCGACTAATTTAACAATGCGGTTAACAATACAAACAAAGTGATTAACAATTAACCGAGAACCGACTAAACGATTGCAGTTATAACCAAACTAATTATCAGCCCTAACAAAAATTGTTTCTAATGGCATCTTATCGGTGACTGAAACAATTTAATTTAGAGTGTTTAATCCATTAAACACACTTTGTACATATTTTTTCCTCTGCATTTTTAATGGTTAAATCGACATTATTTATCACAAGGCCAGTCCAACAGAGCTGCCTTCCTCAAAATTAATATAGAAAATCCTAGATTACAAGTTATTATTCATTAGTGGCTCTCACACTCCTTTAAGTGCAAGTGGGAGAGTTCCAAGTTTTTCTTTTACCTCACTCTTCATTCTACAACATTTGTGTTTAGTTATTGTTCGCTAGTTAATATATTAATTAATTAATTAATATATAAAAGCCTAGGTTGCAAGTTACTATTCATTAGTGGCTCTCACACTCCTCCAAGTGGAAGTGGGGGAGTTCCAAGTCCTTCTTTTACTCCACTCTTCATTCTACAACATTTGTGTTTAGTTATTATTCGCTATGTTTTCGTCTATAACTTTTTGCAAAAATCATCGCCTTTGTCCACCATTTTGCAGCGGATCTCGAAATACTATCGGCAAAATCCTAAATTGTTCCCCACCACCGATTCCCAATGACGCTACCACGAGTTTTGTATCGGGACCGAGTTTCATCCTCTTGAGTGTTTTTTTCTTTCTCTTTTTTCTTTTTGCTGAACATGATTACTATTGAACACAAACACATGAGTATCCTAACTTGAACACAAAGCCTAGGTTGCAAGTTACTATTCATTAGTGGCTCTCACACTCCTCCAAGTGCAAGTGGGGGAGTTCCAAGTCCTTTTACCCCACTCTTCATTCTACAACATCTCTGTTTAGTTATTATTCGCTAGGTTTTCGTCTATAACTTTTTGTACAAATCATCGGCTTTGTCCACCATTTTGCAGCGGATCTCGAAATACTGTCGGCAAAATTCTAAGTTTTTCTCCGCCACCGATTCCTAATGACGCTACCACGAGTTTTGTATCCTGACCGAGTTTCATCCTCTTTAGTGTTTTTTTCTTTCTCTTTTTCCTTTTTGCTGAGCATGATTACAATTGAACCCAAACACATGAGTATCCGAACTTGAACACAAATCATCGCCTTTGCGCAGCATTTTGCAACTTATCTCGAAATATTGTCGGCAAAATTCTAAGTTATTCCTCGCTACCATTTCACAAGGCCGCTACAATCAATTTTGTATCGGGATCAAGTTTCATCCTCTTTAGTGTTTTTTTCTTTCTCTTTTTCCTTTTTGATGAGTATGATCACAATTGAACCCAAACATATTGGTATTCTAACTTGAACACAAATCATCGCCTTTTCCCATCATTTTGCAGCCCATCTCGAAATACTATCGGCATAATCCTAAGTTGTTCCCCACCACTGTTTTCCAAGGCCACTACCACGAGTTTTGTATCGGGGCCGAGTTTCATCCTCCTTAGTGTTTTTTTCTTTCTTTTTTTTCCTTTTTGTTGAAAATGATCACAATTGAACCCAACACAAATCATTGCCTTTGTCAACCATTTTGCAACCCATCGAAATATTGTCTGCGGAATCATAATTTGTTCCCCACCACCATTTCTCAGGGCCGTTACCACGAGTTTTGTTTCGGGACCGAGTTTCATCCTCCTTAATGTTTTTTTCTTTTTTTATCTTTTTTGTTGAGCATGATGACAATTGAATCGAAACACAAATCATCGCCTTTGCCAATCATTGCAACCCATTTCAAAATACTGTCGGCGGAATTCTAAGTTCTTCATCACCACCACTTCCTAAGGTCGCTACCACGAGTTTTATATCGGGAACGAGTTTCATCTTGTTTAGTGTTTTTTTCTTTTTCTTTTTCCTTTTTGTTGAGCATGATCATAATTGAACCCCAAACACATGGGTGTTCGCTAGGTTTAAATCTATTGTTCATTGTTTCCCATAAAAATTATTGCCTACTAGGTTTTCAACTCGCTATTACAGCAGCCAATGTAGTCAAAAGTGAGTTTCTATGTAGAAATGTTTTGGTGATCTAGAAGTTTAAAATCGTAAGTTTTTATGATTTAAAGCGGAGTTTTTAACTACATAAGTTATAAAAACTTAGATTTTGTGTAGAAGCGTTTTATTGAACTAGAAATGTAAAATCGTAAGTTTTTAAGTATTAAAGCGCGATTTTGACTACATTGGCAACAACTATCCACTTTTCGCAACATTTTGCAACCCAACTCGAAACACTCTCGGTGGAATCCTAAGTTGCTCTCTTCCACCGTTTGCCATGGTCGCGACCAAAGACCATACTAGATATGATCTTGATCTGTCTAATCCTCAACAACGCTCACCAATTCACAACCATCTCTAAACACTGTCAACTGAATACTAAGTTGTCCCCTTCCAGCGTTTACCAATGACGCTACCATATCTACTCAATGTTGGTGAGTTTTGTATTGGGACCGAGTTTCGTCCGCTTTAGTGCTTTTTCTTTTACTTTTTGCTTTTTGTTGAGCATGATGACAATTGAACTCAAAATCCATGAGTATCCAACCTAATTCAATCCGGTCAAAGCGACTTGAAACCGATTTTAGCATTTATAAATTTCTCTTTTTTCCTTTTGGTCGGGAAGACAATTAAACCCGAATCTAAGGTATTGACGAGTGTTGTATTGTGAGCGAGCTTTATCCGCTTTTGTAGGTGGCAAGTTGGACCAAGTGTTAATTTGTTAAAAAAAATTTCAAAGCAAGTTGAGCACGTTGTTGACCAGTTTTAGATCGAAAGCGGGTTTTGTATGCTTTAATGTTTTTTATTGCTCATTTTGCTTTTCGTTGAGAATGACAATTGAATTTTGACTCATTGTTAATGCATTTCGTATCGAGTGCGAGTTTTATCCGCTTTTGTAATTGACAGATTAGGTAAATTATGAATTTGTTAAAACTGGGCGATCCGGTCAAAGCGAGTTGAACACAGTGTGGAGAGTTTGGGGTCATGAACGAGTTTTATCCGCTTTAGTATTTTTTATCTTTTTCCATTTGGTTGAGAATTACAATTGAGTCCAAAGTCCAAACGCATGGGTATACAACCTAATTCGACCCGACCAAACGACTAGAACCCGACTTTTACAGGTTTTATACGGGAGTGAGTTTTATCTGTTTTTGTAATTGGCGGGTTGTGTCAGGTGTGAATTTGCCCAAAACTCGGTTCAACCAAGTCAAAGCGAGTTAAACCTGGTGATAACGAGTTTTAACTTTAATGTTTTTCATTTCGCCTTTTCCTTTTGTTTGAGAAAAACAATTGAATCCAAATTAATTTGTATCCAACCTAATTTGACCGGCTCAATGCGAGTTGAACCTACTCAAACCTACAATCAATCCAAAAATCTACACACAATATATAATAGCAGGAACGGGAAAACTGTTGCTCCATTTAAAATTTCCTGCAACGAGAGTGAAAGTAGGAAGGACATTTTAGTCTTCACAATTACTTTTTTTATTTATTCATTAAAAAGACACGTATTGGGATTCGAACCATGACAACTTTACAAAAAAGCAAATATCATAACCAATCACACTAAGTACATTTGTTGTATCTATTTAAATTAAAAACATATAATAACAATGAGGAAAAAACCATTCCCCCATTTCAAATTCCCTACTCCAAGAGCATTCGTAGGAAGGGTAGAATAGGGAGTGTCAATTTTTTTCTATTTCCTCTATGGAACGAGCAAACTTACCGTACATATGCGGATTCAAACGGGCCAATGAGTGTCAGTTTTTTTCTTTAAGCCCTTTATTTCTCGGTGTTGGTAAAACATATATGAAAGGGCAAAAACAATACTCTTTTTTATTGCTAAAAAGAAAAAATTTAACAATAAACTAATGCATGAATTCTAATGGGCTAACCGCTAACCATAAAATAAAAGGGTTGAATGGGCCTGACTACACGGGATTTGCCCATCAAATAAAATAAATGAACATCATGAGTTTGTCATTCTAAAACAAGCTATTTTCTCTAGCATGATATATATTATGCTATTATTTATATCTTAGTGGCTAAAATATAATGTATTTTAAAGTTATTAAATGGTTCAACCTCGACCAACCAAATTAGTCCAATTTTAATCATTTCAAATATATATTATGTAATTATTTAATATCATAATGATTAAATTATAGTGTATTTTATAGGGAATCGTTTGGTATTTGTTAGTAAAAAACTAAACATAAAGATCTATTTGGTTATTTTTAACATTAAAACGATCCTAAACATTTTCAGTTTCCTTTCAAATTTCTATGGTTTTATTACTGAATCTATGATGTGCAAATGGCGAATTGCAGTCATCTCTATTTTTCACTATTTTCTATTTTAAAATAGGAAGTTTAAAAGTAAATAATAATTAGCGTTTGACATGGGTCGGTTAAACAGGCTGAATTTCAAGTTTTGGTCTGCTTTGACCAAGTTTAATTTATAATCACACTGTTCCCCGATACCCAATAAAAATCTCAATCCAAACCAGTTCGGCAGGTGAGTCCGTGTTTACCACCATTTTATCATTGTCTAGGAAGATGAAAGTTTTAAAAAGCAAATTAATCGGGTAACAGGCCGAGTAAAAGCTAGCAACGATTGTGAGATGCTCATTTCCCGAAAACCGGCACGATAGACAATTTTTTATTCGATTTTCTGGAATTTGGTTTCTATAAAACTTACTCCGCCTCATCATATTACCAGAAACAATATTGTTTCACAAGGTAACAAGTACTTGATTTTGGTTCATAAGGCTGATTTTTTATTCGTTGCATCATTCATGTCTCTTTCCTGCTAAAATTCATTATCTTTATTACGTGTTTCCAAAAAAAACTATACAACAATTAGCTTAAAAACTTACTCCGCCACATCATATTACCAGAAACAATATTTTTTCACAAGGTAACAAGTACTTGATTTTGGTTCATAAAGCTGATTTTTTATTCATTGCATCATTCATGTCTCTTTCCTGCTAAAATTCACTATCTTTATTACATGTTTCCAAAAAAACTATACAACAATAAGCTATATACCCTATTACATTATCAAATTTCATACCTCACCTTCCTCTGGCCAACTGGCCGGAGACCATGCTAGTTTTATAAAGGATAACCACGATTACCTCGAACCCAAAAAAAACCCAGAAGAGTACGACTATGTTTGGCTCGAATTTTAGAAGTTTTATGTTTCAAAAGTTGAAGCCAAGCCAAACACCTCTAAAGTTTCGCTTTTTAAAAAGCTGGATTTTTTCGTAACTTAAAAGCAGAAGCTTCGATTTGAAAATACAAAATTGTCCTTACCATATATTATTCTTTTTCTCGAAAACATAATTTTATTTCATTTATATCATTTTTAAAAAATAAATTGAAAATAGTATTATTTAATATGAAATACTTCTTATATAAGAAAGTAACTCTAAAAAACGCTAAACACTCAACAGTTCTTTTTAAAAATACTTCTTGAAAAGATTCAAAGAAACTGTTTCATTATGCAAAAGTTACAGCAGTATCAACTATCAAACATACATATTGTAACAATAGCGTCATGAAAGAAGTTTAAACATAAATAATCTATTCGACGACCCTTCTACCTTATGCAAATTCATCTACCATATGCTATTGTAAATAACAACCCTATGAAAAGAATGATTAATAATGAAATAAAATCACTTTCACTTTTGGGTCAACATTAAATTATTACTTCTTAAAATATTTATTTTTCTGATACGCTAAGCGGTAGCGAGCAGACTTTTGCTACTATTGTAAATGACTACACCCACAACAACAAAACGAGCCTTAAGCTTTTTCTTTTAGATTGTTCCCGCATTTCGTATGCATGTTATTAAAAACTATTAGAGAGCCTTCAACAATCGGAGTTGTTGTGGCTAGGGGTGGAAATTGGGGTGGGTGTTGTATCCGCCCCACATTTTGCGGGTAATCACACCCACAAATGTAGAATTATGTTATCCACAACCTGCCACGCAGTGGGGAGTGGTTAACCATAACCCGCTGTGGGTTGGTGCGGGTTGGTTGTGGATACCCACAAAAATTTCACATTAAATATAATAATATGGTAATTAAATAGTGATGTTGTGTTTCTTCTCACACAAAAACATACATAATAGAAAGTTAATAAAGTGTTAAATAAATTATAAATCTCAAATACAATAGGTATGTTAGTGTAAATTTAGAAGAGATGGATTTGGAAAGAGATTTGAAGATAACGCAGAGGCAGTGTGACCTGTTACCAGACAAACATCGTTGCATGTCACGGCTCCTCCGATGGCAATAACAACAAAACACAAAAGTGGCTCGATAAGTGGAGCCGCCCGCTTTAATTATTTGCTTATTCTCTATTCTCGATTATAGTCTTGTATTGTTGGTAGTTGGTTGCATGTTGTGTTGTTCGTGAATTCGTGGAGAAATGAAGATTATTTTGGGTATCAGACTAACCTTTATCGATTATTCCCCTCTTTTAACAAATCGACTAATTTACTTGACTATATCTATGGACATGGTTTTGTTATACAATAAACATATACCACACAGACAATGCTTATTTGATAAAAATATCTCACATGAACATTGCGCATTGACCTGGTTTTGTTTTTTATAGAATAATGTGTATTTGATTTTGGTAGCTACTTTAATTTTTAGTCTTCCAAGTTTCACAAATTAATATAAGTAATGTGGTTAATGTGGGTTACAAAGTATTTGAAGAAATAAATATAACAAATGTGAGTTTTGTGGGTAAACCACTGTGGGTAGTGGTTAACCACTAACCACAAAAATCAATATTTTGCTCCCACACCCAACCCACTATCAACAAATTGTAGGTATGGGTATCCACAAAGTGTGCGGTTTGCGGGTTACCCGCAAACCAAACTTCCACCCATAGTTGTGGCTACCACTTGAAAACAGGCTTCTTTGGGACTTACAATTACAGTGGCCTTCTTTTCATTGGTACACTAGACTAGTTCATGGTAATTCTTTAATTTGCCAACAGTGGAGATTCCACACTTGCGTTAATCAATCACTGTCCCCATACTAAATGGAAGATGTTTCTGCTCGCAGCTGGACTTACAATGTCGTTGCTCTGCTTCCTTAGCATGTCCACTTGTGCATGGAAGTCTCCCTCCTTGGTAAGAATCAAATGGTAAACAATGGAATCATCTTGAACTTTTAAAGTAGGGTCATTTTAGCGTCGCATTCAAAAATTGTAGAGGACTTACAAGAAGCGAATAGGCACAGGCAAGTGACAGAAGCGTTGGGTACAGATCGAGAACAGCCATGGCAACCTGCTCTGTCACTTGAGGAACCTACAGAGACCAATTTTTTTGTGCCTCAGTACTTCTTTTATTTACAAATGGGGGATGGCTGGGTTAAAGGAAAGAATCGACATACCTGCATAAGCTGAATAGCAAACACATCACCAACAGTCATCTTGTCTAGTTCTTCACACCTCTTGATGAAATCACAAAACCGAGGGCAGGTAGCGAATTGGTTGGATCGATCACAAGTTCTCTGTGAGCGATAATATTGAGAAACGGACTTGGTCAAATAGCTATACTTCTTCAATGTGTCAGGTAAACTGGTAGTTCTCTGGACATCAAAGCCCTCCAGAATCTCTGTAGTAAAACAGCTGCAAGGATAGGGTAGAAGGAAACTTCATCATCAAAAAGAATGAAGCACATCATTACAACATCTGAATCTATAAAGCATCAAGAAAACAGTTTGCAACAACGAATTTCCGTGGGTTTTTGTGAGAAGCGTGTTGGTTGACATCATTAGTCTCTTACGCTGTTTTGATGCTTTCAGCCCCATCACAACAGTTCGGATCTCCTTCAACAAGATACATTAGCTTCTTAAGTCCACATCTCTGCGAATAAACAGGATGTTGTCAGATAGTTGTTATGTTGTTGTCAAAACAAGGAATGCTAGAGAAATCGATACATCGGTGCTCCACAGTGATTAAACAGAATGTAAGTGAACAACATGCTGGAAATGGTATGCGGTTCGACCAGGGGGGGAATGAGTACCTGAAGTCTCAATTTCTGGTCTCTATAGCGATTATCCCTAATCGATGACCGCAAATCATCAACATTTTTCCGCTCGACAACAAAATCAAGAACGTATTCATCAAAATGGTATTTGTGGCGAGCAAGCCAGATTCCATCCCCAACCGGTAACCGCCTGACCTGAGGAACAACCCATATGTATAAACACTACTAAAGGGAACACCAAACAATGCCATGCATATATATGTGATGCACCAGGTACAAGTGACCAAAAATGAAAAGATACCCCTGATGTCCATTCTTAAAATGCAATCTAACTGCTTTCCAAGATGACCATGAAGACAAACAGCAGTGCTGCTCGTTTTTCGGAAAATAAAATTGTTAACATTATGAGAAACTGAAGCTTTGACCTCTTTGATAGAGAGGAGGCTAACCCAGCAGGCAGCTGGTGGAATAAGGCATAGGTTTTAAACGGTTCCAAGCAGCAAGGAAAGTTGACAAGAAAGCTCGGGGCGAAGGACAACGAACAACAGTCTTATTTATGACTGAAACTCCAACATTATTTAAGAACCCTTTGGAAAGAAAAGGAAAGGTCTAAAGATCAAACTCTGCTACCTCTACTTTTATTCCGTGCTCATTGCACATCCCATCAATAAGCTTCCTGCCTCTCGTCCTGTAAATGAAAGATTATGTTAGTATGTTCTAGTTTCACAACAGATATAAAGCTATTTTTGGGAAGATGGAACTAAGAGAAGAGAATTGAACACTACGAACAAGAATTTTTTCACAAGTGCAGGGATATACAAAGGAAATCCCTTACAACATTCATTAAGTTAAAAGCGACCTATCAAAAGACAAACTAATTACCAAGTATTTCAACCTACTATGTTCAAAAACACTGTCCCTCTACATCCTAGCAGATTCAGTTTAAAATTTCATTTAGAATAAGAATAACAACGAAATTTAGAATTCTGGACAGAGGAAGTTTCTTCTAGACATTGCTTGAAAAGGAAACCAGAATCAGTCAAATTTGTGTGCTGCATTTACATTAAGGCTGCATGATCAAATTTAAGTGATGCATTTAGAACAGAAATTCATGAACCATCTATCAAAAACCTATCGGACTGATAAGTGGGTTAAACAAATCTCATTCCGGGTACGATGAGATAACTATAAGGGTTAACAAATTGCTAAAATCAATACTCGATACTCACACCATCACCAAAAGTCATAATTTCTTAAGCAAACATACAAAATAATCTTTTTTTCTTGTGAACAATGAACATGTTTCCATCATGGCAGCAAGGTTTACAGAACAAATAGAACTACCAAACGAAGAAGAGTCAGGACAAGGGTGCTTTGGCTTCAAGTTACTCACCCCTGAGTTGCAAACTGCTCACGGTCATCTAATATAAGGAGGACTTCATATACATCCTCAAACCTCTCGCCAACTCCAAGAGGTGGCATGCTTAGAACACTCATGTTTTGTTCAGTGTTATCGGAACTTGACGATTTCATGGTGTAGTCCTACAAGAGGATGCCAATAGCATTCAGTAACTGTTAATTGAGTTTCCCTATCTAAGGCTGGGGTTGGCATCCGAAAAGTCAGGTAACTGGGAGGAAACATCAAATAAAATGTGCACATACATTTGATGAGCAAGCTTTCAGATTTAATGAGAAAGCAATAGAACAAGCATTGAGCTTATTACTATGACCCCAATCCATTTTACTATTCCGACTGCCACAAGAAACGACCTGACCTGGACATCATTAAAAGGCCTATCAGTTGAGGAAAGCCAATTCTTAACCAAATGTGATTGCTAATGGACATAATAGGGATCTAATTACCGTGGTTATACGTTGGATTAGTTGATTCTGCTTGACAATCATTTCCCAGGGTTTGAGAGTCTGAATGGAAACCATAAATATGTTCTTCGCGAAGATGACACAGGACCGCTGGCCAGAGTGATGAGATATCCTTCCGACCAGAAGTTTTTGAAACTTCAATGAAGGCATCAAAAACTTGTTCCTTGGAATAACCCATATGCAGAAACTGCAACATAGAAGTCACATAGTCAAGTCAACGAGAATTACTATTGAAGTGGTTCTGCTAACCAGCAAGAACCTATAGCACTACAAATGATAATTACACATGCAGAGTCAGTATAAAAATAATATGAACATGAAAGAATTTGATATTTGTGATTGTGGGTCAAATACACCCCAAAAAAAAATATAATAAGAACAGAATTTAAGAGATGCAACAAATTTTACCCTCTCAAGGGATTGAGTTGGAACATTAATAGATCTCTCCTGTCTATTTAAGTCCACAGATGGAATGGTAACTTCAGCAGATGAAGTAGCCTGAATTGATTCCTTATCTGCTGCATTGTCAATGCCCAAATTAGCAGAATCCTCTGCATCAGCTACAGTCTCCTTTGGGTCTAGAAGGCATGATCTCACCATACATTCCCTTGCTACTTCTCGTCCTTCCTGTGTTAGCTTGTACCTGCAAATCGATGAAGATTATTTCTATCAAAGGAGTGTCAAAAGAAAAAGTAAAAAAATAGATGAAGCAAAGAAGAGAATAGATGACTGAAGTATATCAAAGATCTAATGTGATTTACTTGATGAGTTCCTTGTCCCCTTAATTGTAAGGACACACACATGAATCAAAAGTGATAGCTAACTCGAAGGGTGTAAGCTTTTATTGAAGTCAATACACCATCTAACCGGTACAAGGATCATTCTTGTAGACTGATCTGGAGACCATTTGAAACAAATGACAATAAGATTGCCCCCAACAAGCTGTCTGAATATGTCAGACCAGTTATGCCACTGTTTACAAGGCCAACTAACTACTAATGAAAGCAGTTCAGCCTCAACTGGGATCATACCAGCTACAAAAAGGGTATAAAATGCTTAACAAGAGAAAGTAGTTCACCAGGAGGCCATATAACCTTCTGACTTTTCGTGATAACTGAGAATTCAAAATTACATAATTGCACAGTTTCACTTAGGACAACGGTTCTCTGATTTAAAATTATTTATGCTTTGAAGGTCACAAGCATGAACATCAAATGGAGAAATGTTGAAGAACATATTAGGAAAACTACACGCCATTGAGATGAAAGTAGCAAAATTTACTCGTGCAGTACTTTGCAGGGCAACTTGATTTGACAACTAATCCTTTAGTTATCAATGTCTTCATGCAACTCCATCCGGAATAAAAGTCCCTTGGGGAACTTCCTAGATGAGCTGCCTTGCCTTTTCCCTTTTCTGGACTGGTAAAGACAAACGATTCAAACCCATCAATTTTCTTCCTAAGTTTGAGGAAGGAAATTATGAGGAAGTTGAATATTTTGTTACTTACGCTATTGGCGCACGAGAAAGTCCACTTGCTTCAGCTGCATCAATCAGCTCCTGCTTATGCATAAAGTCCTTGCCATTCGTAGTCCCCCTAATTGCAAATAACAAGAATCTAAATATTGGACAGAGTAAACAGCAAACATGATACGAGAGATGTACAAGAACCTTTGAGAAAGTGAAACATTCAATTACCTGTAAAGGGAAATCAGTAATGCATATGCTACAGAATTTTTTTGGGGCATATAACGTCTTTTGGCATTAGCTTTCTTTCCTATTTGACGAAAAGAAATCTGATTACGAATCAGTATGAGTGCTCCTATTGCATTTCTTGACAGATGTGACTACTGTTACCTTTGCCAGTCAAGTCCTCAGGTTCAGGACTTCCAGAATCACTATTAAAAAACCCTTTCATTAGCTTCACCATCCACGTACCAACACCCCTACAAGGAAATAATTCGAATTTATATGAAAAGAACAAGGTGGTATAGTAGTGACTCCCCAAGTTAAAATGCAGGAGAAAACATTTCAAATTCTGGAACAAAAATGTTGCTGCTTGAAGCTTCTTTTTTTTTTTTACTGAAGTTGGAACCACGTGGAAAGTTAATAACGAAATTGGACCTCATCAAATTACTCATATCATATGCCACCTAACCAACAGCAGAAGTCATGTGAAGAGAAAAATAGTATCAAGATTTGGTTTCCTGCATGACATAGAATCCATCAACGCAAGCATAGTCAAAACAAGAGTTGCCGACTTTCAAATATAAACAACTGCCACTGCAAAAGAATTCTGGGAAGGTTCTAATCTACGTCAGGTGGATAGTTCTGGCATTACCCACCAAAGCAACAGAGGGCTAAACCCAGATGAGAACCAACATTTACTCTTTTGGTTAGAAGAACCAACATTTATTGATTGAAACCGGAAATTGAAAATACCAAAAGAGCAGAAAGATCCACATACTTGAGCTGCGAGAACTCCTTGAGGGTTTTGATGGGAGTCTTGGCACAACACACGCTGTTATATGCTTTAGACAGAGTCATATCCAAGTTATCAGATAACCCCTTGGGAGAATCAGCCAATTCTCTCCTCTTTTGTAGCAAGCACGATACAAGGTCTTCGTTACCTGGGCACACCACCCGTTTCCGGTTCTCCATTTCCAGCATAAATCTAAAATCTTTCAAGTGACCTTTTGGGGTGTGAAAGAATTTCTCCCAGTTTAATCCCAAAAAACTGTCGACGAACGAGCACGTCGCCGCCCAAAGTCTGCTCCGCGCGACTGCTGCCTGACGTCCCAGACAACTTTCTCTGCTAAACTAAAACCCTCTATTAATTTTTCCGATTGTCAATTCCACCGGCTCGTTTCTCTCTGTCGGCCTGGCTTAAAAGTTAAAATGCTGGAAGCCCGCTGCTCCCACAATGGGCTGGGAAAATAGGGCCAAACCAGTTTGTTTGGCTCTAGAACTCTAGTCTTGATTTTATTTTTGGGTAAATACAATTTAATATCTAAATCTTTCATTTTAAACAATATAATAACCAAACCTTTTCGAAAACAATCTAATATCCAAATCGTCAACTTTTCGTCCGTTTGACCGTTGGTTGACACTTCAAAAAAGCTTTGTTTAGGGGAAATTGTCACAATACAACTTTGTTTTCTTGTTTGACATTGCAGATGACTGAATATTTAGATTTCTATACCATCATGGTGGAGTCATGGACTTCTCGGGTTTGGAACCACGATATGCTGGTGATTTTTCAGAGAAGATATCGATGGATATTGATGAAGCGTCGTACTTCGAACTTTTTTGAAATGTCAACTAACGGTTAAACGAACGGAAAGTTGACGATTTGTATATTAGATTGTTTTCGAAAAGGTTTGGCTATTATATTGTTTAAAATGAAAGATTTGGATATTAAATTGTATTTACCCTTTATTTTTTATATACCTATCTACCCCATATATAATCTACATCTCTACAAATATATTATAACCAAGTTGAGGGCAGTTTTTTAGCATTTCAAATTCCCTGCAATGAGAGCGAAAGTAGGATGGATAATTGTGTCTTTACAATCATTATTTATTTTTTATTCATAAGAAAAGAATACATCAATCTTTAGATTCGAACCATGGTCTTTCCAAAATAAGACAACAACCATTACCAATTAACCTAAAGAAATCTTTTGTGCTCTTTTAAGTAAAGAATCTCAAAACTTGAAATCTAAAAATTGGCTAAATTACACGTTTGGTGACTAAAATTATACAAATCTTTCACGTTTGCCACCCAAATTACATTTCTTTCTTATTCTCCACTAACTTTACGAATCGTTTCACCGTTAGTCACCGGCTGTTACACTCTGTTAAATTTATCTTACTTGGCAGTCAACTATACAATTTGATTGTTAACTAGATGATGTGGAAATTTAAAAAAAAAATAAAAAAAAAATATTTTTCCACCTCATCATTCCACTACTTTGCATTATTATCATAGTTATCATTTAGGATTTTGCTAAGGTGACATGCATGTCACCGTGACATGGACTTTTCGGTCGACCTAATCCAACATGTCGTCGACCGAACGGACTAATTCATGTATGTGGGGTTCCGAGACGCGGTCGACCTCTTACATAATATGGTCGACCGCTTTGGTTGTCTAACAGAATGAAAGGTCGACCCAAATATCTCATAGGCCGACCCTTGTGCACCTAACAGGTCGACCGCATTATGAAGAGGTCGACCGCCTTCACACCGTATCCGTATTGGATATGGATTCCAACACCAGAAAGGTTCCACAATTGGACAAGGAAACGAATTGGGTCGACCCATTCACGTCCTAAATCTCTATAAATACGAATATAAGTCCCCTTCAACGCCTCCAAGTCTGAATTAGGTTTTTTTCCGATTTAGAGCCTTTGTGAAGAAGATCGTTCGCGGTTGCTGTTGTACATGTTGAAAGTGGTCGACCAGGTCTAAGGTGCGGTCGACCTATGTAGCATTCGCCGTCATCTTTTCTAATGCGTGATTTCCACCGGCTAATTTGATATATTGTTGGGTGCAAAATTCCATTCGGTCGACCTGACGAGACAATTCTTCGTATTTGAATTTAGGCCACAACACTTGGACTTCTGTACTTGCGAGGTAACGAAGATCAACCCAATTGGTCGACCTAATGTGTTTCAAGGTCGACCGTTTCTGTTTTTTTGGTTATTCAAATTGAATGTCGACTTTAGCTTTGTTTGTATGACTATGTTGTGCTTGAAAAGGTCGACTGCGCCAGATATCTGGTCGACCTATCCTTTTTTCGGTTTAATTTTGAACTTACTTTTTGTTGTTAATTGTTATTTTCCTGCTGGATAGGTCGACCTAGGAATAACAGAGGTCGACCTTAATGGTTGTGGTAGTCACTATTTGTCTTCCAGGTCGACCTAATGCTTTGTCAGGTCGACCACGTCTTTGTTTTTTGGTCAATTGTAGAAATTTGTAGTTGAATTATGATTTGAATTTTTCTTTAAATTGTTTAGACGATGACGCATGATGAGAAACTACATCAAGATTTGGGTGAAATCATGAAATTGTTGAAAGCCACACAAGAGAAGCTGGTGGTGTGTCAAACACAAGTCAATGACTTTCAGAAGTCCATGCGTGATAGAGTGGAGCAATTGTCAGTTCGATTGACAGATATGACCGGGATGATGCATGACGGGTTTGAGAGGCTAGAAGGTGCTATCAAAGATATAGTGCAGAACGAATGGAGAATGGCGGAAGAAATGGTAAAGGAAAGAAATGTGACTTTGGTAAAGAGGAGGAAGACCATAATGACTCTGAAAATTGCTACCAGAGCATAGACGATTTATTGAAAGAGCACATTTTAAAGGTATCCAAGTATATTCATATGTGATTGAAGATATTAGTATTACTATCATTAGCGCTAATTTGTTTTGTTTATATGTTTGACAGAGTGAAACAACGAATGGCAGCAAGGGTTCCTCTCCTAAGTACAAGAGACCGCGATATGAAAGTGACTCCTATGAGTCCTTTCGAAAAGCACGGGGTAAGTTTACGTTACATATTCATCTATAATGTGTGTTTGTGTTCATATGTTACTTTAATTTTAACTATGCTTTGTAGGCAATGAAAGTGGAGGGTATAGAAGGATTCACCAAAAATCTTCAAAATCCAGTTGAAGACTTGTATTATGTTGTTACTAAAGAGAAGGCTGGGGACACGAATTGGGACAAGTAAGACGTTTTTTAGTACGTGTGGTCGACCGTTTAGGTCATGAGGTCGACCATTTGTCCAATAAGGTCGACCGTGACTGTGAACAGGTCGACCTGTACGTTGCAAATCACAATTGACATTTCTGTTATTTTGATTTTTGCAGTTTGACCGTTGTGGACTTTTTTTCTGAAAACGTGCAACGACATTATTTGAGTTCGCTCATTAGCAAGAATAGCTGGGTTTGCTCATCAGTAAGTACTATACTACTACGACTTTCGTACGAATTGTGCACTATTTATGTTACGATTTACGATGATTTTGTGTTTGATTGTTGGATGGTAGGTAGTGGATTTGTGTGCAAGGGCACTAACAATGTCTGAAAAACATGATGTGAAAGAGCCAAATGTGTGGTATTTGCCAAATATGTTTTCGGTAAGAGCTGTAATGTCAAATTATTTGTCATAACCTAGTTATTTATATTGTACCATGTCAATTCATCTCAATTAAAACATGGTGCAGAAAATGGTACGCGCTAACATGAAGACCAGACAAATTCGTAACAAGTTGATGAATGATGGCGTGGTGTTTATGCCGAATGTTAGTGCATGCCAGAAGGTTAGTCTAGTCAATGTCCCTATATCATTAAATTTCGAAAGTGCATTTGTTTGTATTCGCTGTTTATAACATATAGTGATTGTTTCGTTGCTAGATATTTATGCCAGTTCTTGATGATGAAGCACGTCATTGGTTTCTGTATCTCGTCAATGTCCAGCAAAAAACTGAATTTTTTGCTTGACAGTCTACCTTCAACTAGTGAGGCGAATCGTAGGCATAAATCAGCACTATGCAAGAAATTGGTAAGTGTTTCCTATAATTTTCTGACTACTAAGCGTTACGTATTATGCTAGAAGCTTAGAATATTCGTTATTTGTGTGTAGTTGTCCAATTTGGATGATATTTTCAAACCGGAGCGCATGAGCAATGTAGTAGTACCAAATTTTGGAGATTTCAATTTTGATGAGCTACGAGTTCAACGGCAAAGGAATAGTACTAAGTGTGGTGTGCACGTCATGCAGTGGATGCACTATGGATCCAAGGATCTGGATAGAGTGGTGAGTATATCGTCAAACAAATAACTTGTTTAATTTACACTTTTTTTAGTTGTAACAAAGTCTTACATGGCATAATGCAGATAGGAGAAGACCACAAATTACCGGCTCGAAAGGAGATTCTATGGTATCTGGCTACACATTTTGAAAACCGTGCACGAGAAAATCTTTTCAAGCATGTAGTAGATGAATGCATGGAACGAGGCAAAGAGAGACAGAGTTCAAACAAAAAAGCAAAAAAATGAAGTCGTTAAGTTACAATGTTGCATTATTTGGACAATACATTGAATTTGTATTTGCGAGATCGTTTCATTTTGGATTTTGAATGTTTATCGTTTATTAGATTTGTTATACAATTATGGATGTGACTGAATTTACGATTTCAATCGTCTAGAACAAAGGGTCGACCACATACTCAAAGCGGGCATACCCAAAGGCAGAGCACAGGTCGACCTCGTGACGCTTAAGGTTGACCTATGATACCGTAGCAAAGTCAAAAACTATGTGGAATAAGGATGGAATCTCGTCTGTTTGGCCTTAATAAAATACGGTCGACCATTCGTGTCAAGAGGTCGACCTGTTTCACATTTCTAAACAATGGTCGACCATATCAGTAAAGAGGTCGACCTGTTTCACATTTATAAACAACGGTCGACCATTTGTGTAAAGAGGTCGACCTGTTTCACATTTACCCAAGACGGTCAACCATTTGTGCAAAGCGGTCGACCGTAATGATTCATGTCCTTGTACAATTAGGATTTTGTGTACTTGTCCTTGTCGAATTATGATTTTATATATCTTTCACCAATTGGATAATGGAATTCGTCTACATTATCTATAAATAGATGGGAGTCTTAAGACTTTAATCGTACTTCGATTTATGCAATTTGTTGGAGTGAAGTTGTAATCTCATCGCTCTTATTGTGATCGGGTGTTGGTGGCGGTTTATTTTTATTCCGGTAGACCGTAACAATAAGTGGTCGACCTCTTTTCTAAGGTATGTCTTGTATGTGCTTGTTAATGGTTGTATGTGGTTAAATTTTTCCCTAATTAGGTCGACCACCCCCACCATCCGGTCGACCGTATTTGTGTAATTATATGATTAGGTCGACCTTACAGTAAATTCAGGTCGACCGCATCTTTGTTATTTAGTAATAAGGTCAACCGTACAGTTCATTAAGGTCGACCTGACGAGAGCTAATTGTGTATGTTTTTTACATTAAATTCGTATTCCGATCGTTGCAGGATGGATAACAGAGATGCTACAGATGATAGAGATAATGATGAGGTTAACTTCGATGAGGAACCTAAGGATGCTCGAGAAGGAGCTATGGATAATTCAGATGATACAGATAATACGGATGATGAAGTGGTTGGGGATGATAATGAAACCGAGGGTGCTGAAGAAGAACTTATGGATGAACAAATTCCTTCCATCGAGTTCCAAACATTAGAAGATGTAGAGAAATTTTACGATTCCTATGCTAAAGCGAAAGGATTTAGCGTTCGACGTAGAGATCTTCGGAGGAGTCGTCGAGGAGTAGCAATTGGGAGGACAATGGTATGTTCAAGAGAGGGGACTAGAGAGAAGATGCATATAGATAAAGAAGGTCGGACTCGACAACATCGTAAGATGACAAGACATTCTTGCAAGGCATCGTATACTGTACGCTTTGATCGGAATAAGAAAATGTGGGTTGTTTCTAAGTTTGAGAGGAAGCACTCACATTGTTGCTGCAATGAAGAAGAAACTCAATTCCTTCGGTCTCATCGAAATGTGAGTGAAGGAGACAAGGCTCTGGCGATAGGGATGCGACAGTCAGGAATAAAACAACGCAACATTGTTCAGTTCATGAAGAATAAAGTTGGAGGATATGAGAATCTGGGGTACACTCCAAAGGATTTGGACAATGGTGTTCAGCAATCCCAAACAGTTGACGACGATCTAATAGGAGATGTTAACCGAACATTGGGTTACTTGCAAAGTAAACATACCTCTGATGCGGGCAGCTTCTTCAAGTACACAACCAACGATGAAGGTGAATTAGGCAATCTCTTCTAGTCGGACTCCACATCTAGAGCAGATTACCATTTTTTTGGATATGTCTTGGCGTTCGATGCATGCTACAAGCGCAACAAGTACAATCGACCATTTGTTATGATAGTTGGTGTAAATCACCACCACCGTAACATCATATATGGTTTTGCCCAGTTGGATAACGAGACAATCCCCAACTATGTTTGGTTGTTGAATACTTTTCTGGAGTGTATGAACTCTAAGATGCCAACTTCAGTGATCACAGACGAAGACAAGTCTATGCGTGGTGCCATTGCTACTGTTATGGTTGGAATGCCTCACCGTCTGTGTATTTGGCATATTGAGACAAATGCGACAACGGCCATTCATAATAAGGAGTTCGTTAGCGCATTCACTTACTTGGCGAAAGCACGTATCTCGATTGAGGAGTTTGAGAGGCGTTGGGAGCATTTGATTAGTCAGCATGGTTTGTCTGCAAATAAGTGGTTGCAGGATTTGTACGCTGACAAATTACTGTGGGCAGAGGCATACTTGAAGGATATTTATTTCGGTGGACTCCAATCAACCTCGCGATGTGAGTCATGTAACCATTGGATAAATGGGTATGTGGGAACTCAATACAGCTTGCAACGTTTTGTTCAGGGCATTGATGAAACACTGGAGGGGATGCGTTTCACGGAGGTGCAGGATGATTATACTTCTAGGCACACGAGGTTGGTCTGCAAGCATGCCCTTCGCACTTGGAAAATGCAAGCTGAAAGTATCTACACACATCGTACATTTGCTATCTTCAAGTCTGAACCAGAGAATGAAGCTTCTTATGTATTAGCGGAGAGAAGAAATGAATCAGATGGGACATAGACATTCATACTGAAGAACTACATGAACCCAGATCGGATAAGGCGGTTAACATTTACTACGTCCAATCAAGATCTAAAATGAGAGTGTGCATTATTTGAATCTAACGGGTTTCCATGCAGACATATGCTTACAGTAATAAAAAATATGGGATACACCGCACTACCCTCGTCGTGGTTCAAGCTTCGATGTACCCAAAATGCGAAGACACTAAATCATCATCCTGGAGTTGGAGGTGATGTGGGAGAGAAAGTTGGTCGACTGATAAGACATGGAGGATTGGCTCTAAAGTGTAAGCGTTTGTGTGACATTGCGTGTGGTAGTGAATCTGCTTTTAATCATGTCTCTAAGGCGTTGGACGACCTTACTCAATGGGCAATTGAGTTCGCGAGGGAGAGAACGGACAACACCACACTGGCAAACCCTCCAGCACCCCTTCGAAGTGTGAAAGATCCAAAAATTGGGAAGACCAAGGGGACATTCAAGTCAGCACGAACTTCATCGGGCAAAAGTTTAAGAAAGTGTTCGAAATGTGGGAAATATGGTCATTTTCGCCCTAAGTGCCCGAAACAAAGTCCTAGAAGAGGATCTTAAATTTTTTCTATTGTTTTTTAGGAGTTTATTTATTTTTTAATAACTGTGATTGCAATGTATTTTCTTCGAATTATCTTAATAATTTATGAGTTAATTGATTGTTGGTTGAAATAAACAATAACAATAAAACGGTCGACCTCATACAAATAACGGTCGACCTGACCATAAACGGTCGACCGAACAAGTTACTGAGGTCGACCGCGTATTTAATTCGGCCGACCAAACCGGTTTGTTTGCAACATCCACCCAAACCTCCCCCAATCCTCTATTTAAGAAACCCTCCCCCGCTCATTCTACACTACAATCAGAACCCTATCCCACCACATCCACTCATTCTTCCTCTCCTTTCCCTTCTTCATCTT